TGTGTACTCTTCCCCTACATCAGAAAAACGGGCATCAGAAGAGGACGCGCCTTCCCAATCTAATTCATCTTTATTATTTATTTGATCACTGATATACTTAGACATGCATTTTCTACAAGTTAAAAAACAGGTGGCATTCAAAGTAGAGGTGATGGTTATATCTGAAAAATAAGCTGATCTGGAAGGTAACATTTTCTGGGGAAAGTCTATAAATGGCAAAGCCCCTACTCCCTATATGCATCTAAAAGGGTGAATGCCAAAGATGTCTGACCCTTCATCTACCGTGCAGGTGATTCTAGATTTGCTATGTCATGTACACCTCAGGTGGCTCCCAATAGCATTGGCTCAGTCATGCACAGGTACGCTCATCCTAGAAGCAGGAAGCCACATGTCCACAGAGCTGGGGCAGGAAGAACAGAGCCAGAATGCTGCTGTCCACTAGCCCCGGAATGCTTATGCCCAGACTTCCTGACATGAGCTACAGCCAGGCCCTCATATGTTTAAATCATTATCGTTTCATTTGTCTGAATTTTAACAATCCATGGGGCTGGGAAGGTGGCTCAAGTCCCCAGAGATTTAAAAAGGGGAGTGGGCATTACAAAGGAATTTCCAGAAGCTTTCTTGGAATAACCTTTGAATAACCTTTGAATTTGGGAATTTTGCTACATCTTCAAATTTAAGGAATTTCACTTCTAATTTTAGCTTTCGTCCAATTCACTGGGATGTTTAGCAATGAACTCTCTCTCTCTCTCTCTCTCTCTCAAAGACTGGCCAGGTACAAATGGCTCACACCTGTAATCTCAGCTCCTTGGGAGAATGAGATCTGAGGATTGTGCTTTGAAGCCATGTCAGGGCAGGAAAGCCCATGAGACTCTTATCTCCAATGAACCACCAAAGGCTGGAAGTGGAACTGTGGCTGAAGTGGTAGAGTACCAGTCTTGAGCAAAAAAGCTAAGAGGAAATGCCTAGGCCCTGAGTTCAAGCCCCAGTGTTGGCTCACGCACGCGTACATGCACACACACACACACACACACACACACACACACACACACACACACACACACACACACACTAGCCATCAGCGAGGTCGCCAGAGCTGACTTCTCCATTCTTCCATGACTAATGGTGTGCTGAAGATGGCTCTGCTCTCTGCATCTGGGTGCTCTGAGTCCTGTGAAATGTTTTTTTCTGGTCAGCATGGGCCTTGAACCCAAGCTCTGGGTGCTATTCTTGTCCTTTTTGCTCAAGGCTCATATTCTACTACTTTGAGTCACAGTTCCACTTCCAGTCTTCTGGTGGTTAATTGGAGGTCAAAGTCTCACAGACTTTCCTGTGTGGGCTGGCTTTGAACTGTGATCCGCAGATCTCAGCCTCCTGGGTAGCTAGGATGACAGGCGTGAGCCACCAGCATCCAGAGTGAAACTGTCTTTATTCTGGCCCCATGCTGACGTGGAACTTACACAAAGTGCCCTTCTAACTCCATCTTTCCTACACTGATACATTACTGAGGGATTTTTGTGATTCGACTCTAATATAGCTGGCTATAGTCCAGCCATTTATTTACCTAAAATAGCCACAGCATCGCAAGGTGAGATGTGTTTGCCTCTGTAGCCTTCAGAGCCGCACACCTTCCTACCATTGAAGCCAACCTGCCAACCCCTCCTCACGAGCAGACAATGTTCTGAGCTTCCCCAGACCTCAGGCCTTCCAGCTAAAACTGTCTGCAACCACTCTTTACCTAGGCATTTTTAATATACTGTCTGACTTTCTCCAATGGATAGGGATACCCTTGCTCATCATGGCTTTTTTTCAGCTCATTGGCCATTTTCAAAAGATCGTTCACCTGGGTGTCCTGGGATCGGTCAGTCTGTCTGTTATTAAAAGCACACACTCGCCTCCTACACTTTTTAACTATTTTCTTCAGGCCTTTGTTATTTGTCTTCTGGATGTAATCTTCAAACGTCTCGCTCCCGAGGTCCTCTTTCCGAGTGAAAAGCAGGATGGTGTACTGCAGGACATCACTCCCAAAGATGGCTTCCAGCTGCGCCACCGCTGCCTCGTCCGCCTTGGTGAACCGCCCCAGCTGGAGCACCAGGACAAGAATCTTAGTTCCTTCTTCACAAAGAGCCCAACAGCGTCCCACCTCCTTGTCTAACCAGGATGGATCTTTCTCCACACCAGGAATCTGGGTGAACAGCGGCGTGTCCACAACCACAAC